AATCCATCTGGGTACCAGTGAGACTAACTCTTAGGACAATTCTGGCCAGGATCCAGACAGAGAAGAAGGAAAGTGAATGGAAAGGATTTCTCGGCTGAAGGGTGTTGGGCCCGGGGTCTGAGGCCGCGTGCGTCCGTCACAGAAGGGGCGGTGGGAACGACTGTGGCAGGCCAGCCAGGGCTGGGGAAGAGCACGACTGACCGGCAGAGTGTCTTCCCTCCTCCCAGGACCCTCGGGGCTCCCTTCCGGTAGGGCTCTGTTGACAATGAGGTGCGCCCCATGGTCAGAAGAAACAGCAGCAGTGAGGAGAGCAGGGAGTCCCAGCTTCCCGTCGTAACCAGAAGGCCCGTGCGTTCCAGGAGGGAAAACACTGAGCGAGCCCCGAGACCTCTGTCTTCATCCTCACCCCGCCCACTGTGCAGGGCTGGACACACCTGTCTACTCCTCTGGGCCTCAGACCCCATCTGCCAGCCCTGGACTGGACCAGCTGCTCTCAAAGGGACCTTCCACCTGTACTATAAGGCGGCTCTGGGTGAGGAAGGAGCCACCCTGGGGCACTGAAGATGAAGGTTCCAGGTGTCCGTGCAAGAGACAGGCAAGCAAGGTCATCCGGGAGTCTCCGCAGGGTCAGGGTAAGAAGTAATTTCGTCTTTTTTAAAAAGCTAAGATGAAAAAGCAAGAGAGTAACTTTATAATGGAGAAAGCTGAGGAACTCCCTCAGCCAGGTGACGGAGGTCCACACGGACAGCGACAAGCCGTGTTGACGGCCAGCCTCCTGACGTGACGTGGCGGGCACTTTAGCTCCGTGACCCTCCTGCCCGGCGCCCAGCGCCCAGGCTCACACGAGAAAAGCACCAGACTCTCCCCCAGAGGGCGTCCTGTAAGATCCCTGAGCAGTGCCCTCAAAACCGTCAAGGTCATCAAAACCAAGCAAAGTCCGAGACGGGTTCGCAGTGGAGAGGAGCCCAAGGAGGCCTCACGATAAACGTAATGCGGCGTCGCCGACGGATCCCGGAGCGAGAAAGGACATAAAAGATGAAAACGAGAGAAATCTGAATAGTGATGCTGGTGCATTCAAGGCAACAAATGATGCCACTAACGCGGGATGTTAGTGACGGGCACTGAGGTGCAGGGACTCTGCACTGTCCTCGCAGCTCTTTTGTGAACCTAAAACCCTTCTAAACAAATGTCATTCTTAAAAAGGAGCTAAGATGAGTGAAGTCATGGCAAATACTTAGACAAGCACAGCCCGGGCAGAGAGCAGGCGCACACAAAGTAGGGGTGTGTCTAAGACGGGCCCCCACGTTTCGCTGGGACTTGGTGGATGCCGAGGTTTAGGCAGCATATGTGAATTCGGTTTGCACATCGCTCCATTAAACTCTGAGCAGTCAAGCAAGGAGAGAGAGCAAGAGTTTGTGACAAAGGTGACTAGAAGAGCCTGGATGGGGTGACAGGGAGCCCATGCATAACCTGACCAACGTTTTCACTGCGGGCTGAGAAGTGCCACGAGGAGAAGCAAGAAAGCGAAGTAGAGCACGACAGGCGGGAGAGAACGGTGCCCGCGGCCGGGGCGCCTGGATCTGTGCCCGCTGAGCGCGCCGGGAGGCGGTTCTCACTCCTGAAACGGGTGTGGGGCGGGCGGGGCTGGTGGACTGGCGGGGGTCACTGTGCCGCTCCTTGTCATGCACCAGGTCTAGGCGAAGCAATCTCAACCATCCCGTAAGGAGTTTATCACTATCCCTGTTTTCCAGATCAGGAAAACCAGGGCCCACAGAGGTCCTGTGAGTGCCCGGAGCCACACGAGGCCAGTCAGTGGCTGAGCTGGCTTTCAGCCCTGGGCAAACCTGGTTCAAAGCCGGCTCGAAGAGTATTTAGAACAAAGTCTACTCTCAGTCATCCCACGTGCTGCTCTGTCCGAGGGCCGGCCCTGGCGCTCCCTGGGCCCACACTCGCTTCCTTAAGGGCATTTGTTTGCCCAGTTAAGTCTCGGACCTGGTCTCAAAGTACAGCAGCAAATGCGGCGTCTGTGTGTCTGCACTGTGGAGCGGGCACCCTGAGCTTTGGGACAGCAGCCTTCCCGGTCTCTGCGCGCCGGCCAGGCACCCTCCCCGCACTCCCTGGCGGCCGCTGGGATTCCAGCCTGTCTGGCCTTTTTGTTGTCTTCACTAAGATGACAGGTTCAGGTGCTTTTTAAATTAAAATGGTTTGTTTCTGTTCATCTCTTTTCCAGATGTCACTACCTAGAGGGAATCTGCCTTTATTTATTGGCTCTTTCCTGTGCAGAATCCAAGGGAGTCTCCCTCCAGCTGGACCCGGCAAGGAGGCCACATGTGGGGAGTGACTTGAGCTGGGACGGCAGGAACCGGGGGTCTCTGGGGGGCTCAGGACAGAGGTCAGGTGGAGATCACGGGAGGGGGTGTGCCACGAGGATTTTCTCCCGGCCACGTGGCACTTGTGGGGCTGAGGTGAGGCGTGTGGCAGGGTCAGCACGTCCCTGCTGGGCTGGGAGGCTGGAAATTTATGAGGGCAGATGCGGCCCTGTGTCGATGCCTTTCACGTTGCCAACTGCAGTGAAGTAGAGTGTTTACTTTCCTATTGGACAGTAGGCTGAGAACTACCCGATCAATCTCCAGCCCGTTTCTGGGTGACACCCTGAAGTGTCCCCTCCTCCCTTCCCCTGCCCAAACCCAGGCTTCCGTCACCGGGGTGGTTGCTGCAGCCCCTCTACCCTGTCTTCCGTCTCCACCCCACCCTCTCCCATCTGTCCTCTGGCTGCAGCCAGATCCCTCCCGCTCCTGCTTCTACCGCTGGGTTTCCTCTCTCCCAACTGGTTGGATAAAGCCCCAACTCACTGGTCAGCCGCGGAGCCCTTCCCAGGCCTGCCGCCACGTCCTCCCCGCCTCCCTCTGCTCACACTGAACAGCCAGAGCGCCCCACGCCCGCGCTGCGCTCTACCTGGCGCCCTTCTCCAAGTGGCCTGCTCAGCGAGCAGACGTGCCCGGTGAGCAGGCGTCGGGCCAGACTGCCAGACTCGCGGAGCCACCAGAGCCCCACGAGGGTGGCGTCCTCAGTGCCGGCACAAGTCCAGCACAGAGCAGGCCCTTGTGGCGCTGGCTGCCAGACGGAGAGGTGAGACGGCGAGTGAGGCCGAGGCCGGCTGCGCAGGGGCTGGGACGGCTGAGTTCCCAGCCTGGGACTCCGTATGGACGGCCTGCGCTCAGGACCCTGGACAATGTGCTCTGCTCCTGAGGGCTGTGTCCTCTGAGAGCCCCTCTTGTCACACAAAAGCATCTGTGCTGAACTGAAAGGTCATGGTGTTCCCGAAGAAGATAAAAGCTTTGGTTCCCTGACAGACATTCCAAGGGGATGATTTTTAAGACGCTGCGTGCGTGTTCCTGTGGGGACACTTCCTGGGGTTGCTTTGTGACATTCCACAGACCCCCCCTACCAGCTATGAGAGTGCGGGGTTGAGAAGCGCAGAGATGCACTGGACACTCGTTTACCAAACCCGCGAGGTGCGGGCTGCGGGGCTGGGGCGCGGATGTGAGGTGGGCAGGGCTCGCCCTCGGGGAGCCACCGTTTCAGTGGCAGAAGCTGCCCTGGGTGTCAGTGACCACTGCCAAGGCAGTGAGTGCCCAGTGCCCCCTGAATGCTGCGGAGAGGGCTGTGGCGCTGGGGACGTTGCGGAGGCTGCCGGGGCGGGGGCGCCGCGCTCCGCAGAGAAGCCGGGACTCGAATGAGCTAGGCAGAGCTTGTGAGGGCGGGGACTCCGGGAAGGGCCGCAGCGCGACCAGAACCCACCAAGAGGGGAGGCATGGGGTCTGTTAGGATGACAGGTGGCTCCATTTGGCACAATCAGAATGTTTATGCACCAGACACATGAGACATGAGGTTGACAGGACAGGCAGACGCATGGCAGGCCCGTATGACAGGTGAGATCGCAGCCCTGAGACCCCGCCTTGGAGAGCACCTGATGCCCAGCTGCCCATCCTCACTGCTCCGCAAACCGGAAGGGCTCAGCGCCCACAGGGATCACAGCTGCGGGCATTTCACGCCGGGGCTGGCCCTGAGAGCTGTCGGCCAGCTTCTCTGGCTCATGGAGTAAGGGGCAGTGGCCCTGTCCCCTCCCAGCACCCAAGGGGTAGGATGGGAGCAACCAGACATGTCATTTGGTCCACACCTCACCCTGCCACATCCCCCCACCTTGCTAGTCCCCTCAGTGGCATTCCCACCTTACAACCTGGCCCTGGAACCTTCCCTGCTCCCAAGGCTGTGTTTCTACAAAGCTTTGCAGCCATGCTGCGGGATCCAGCTGCCAGCCCCTCCCGAGCACCCCAGACCCTCCTCCAGACTCCTCTGTCCCACTCACATGGGAGCGGCCCCCTCACCCTACAGATGAAGGAGCTGAGGGCAGAGAGGTGGCAGGACTTGGCTGGAGTCCTGGGAATGGGGGTGGTGGGGCCGGGCCTTGCGTTCAGGCCTCTGCTTCCCAGACGGGGCCTCTCCCTTGGCTCTGCTAGGCCCATCCGTGCAGGGCCCACTGCCTGTCTCTGAGCCTTTGTCACGGCTCCTGGAGGGCAGAGAGCACTGCTGATCTCTCTGGGGTGTCTGGGTATCCTGAGTGGCAACAAGCCCACGGTGGCGCCCAGCAACCCGCAGCAGACAGTCAGTCCCCTGCTTCAGAGACCATTTCTCTGAGGAGGCTGATGAACGGAGTGGGTGACTCGGCAGCCTCAGGTTGGGGAGCTGCAGGGCCCCCATGGGGCGATGAAAAGAACCTGGCCTGGGGGTCTGGTGCAGGCCTGGCTGGGCTGGCACCAGCGACCTTGCAGATGTGTCCCCGTCTCCGGGCTTCAGGCTCCCATGGGTCCAAGGGGCTGGAGGAGCTCCCTGATCTCTGCGGCCCCTGAGCTCTGCTACCCTGTGGCTTTAGGCAGTGCCAGTGTCCCCAGCAGGGCTCTGGACAGAAACGGACAGAACTGAAAGTGGCCAAGTGTTACCCCTTGCTCCTGACAGATCTGTGTCAGTCTCTCCAGCTGCTCGTCTTGGATGACCTTGGCCTTCTCGTACTGCTGGATAACCATCTCCATCTCCACTTTCACTGGCAAGACGTAGGCTGGAAGACAAAGACAGCCCTGTGAAGACCTCGGCAGTGGCAGGGCTCAGCCCGGCACTCGGCCAGCAGCAGGTCCGATGCCTGTTCCCTGAGGACGGGGTGGGGGAGTGGGGGGCGGGTGGCACATGTCCAGGCACTCAACCGCATCCAGAAAGTACAAGAGGGCTACAACCTTGACTCACAGGTCCAAGACAGCTGTGTCCCTCCTTTCCATAGTGACAGAAGCCTCACTTTTGGGCCTTGTGCACAGCTGCCTGGAATAAAGACTATTCTCCAGCCTCCCTGGCAGCTGTGGGTGGCCACAGATCAGCTCTGGACAACAGGATGCCGATGGAGGTAGAATGCAGCGGCTTCCAGAAGCCTTCCTTTAAAAGCAGCACAACTACTTTGGAAAACGGTTTGGCATATGTTAAGCAAAGATTGACCCTGTGACCCAGCAAGTCCATTCCTAGCTACCTAAGGGAAAAGGAAAGATACCTCTACACAAACACTGGTACGTGACTGCTCATAGCGGCATCACTCATAATAGCCAGAAAGTGGCAACAACAGAAATGTCCATCGACGGATGAACAGATAAAGGCAATGCAGTCTCCCGTGCCGTGGAGCACGGCTTGGCAGTTCAAAGGAGTGAGGTGCTTGCGCACTGCAACGCGGGTGAGCCTTGGAAACACCGTGTGAACTGAGGGAAGCCAGCCACAAGAGACCGCATGTCATCTGAGTCCATTTATGACTTGTCCAGAATAAGCAAATCTACAGAGACGGAAAATAGGTTAGTGTTGGCCTCTGGCTGAGGAGGGAATGCGTGACTGCTGGTGAGGATGGAGTTTCTTTCTGGAGTGATGAAAATGCTCTAAACTTAGATTTCGGTGATGGTTGCACAGCTCTATGAATACACTAAAAACCAACGAATTGTGGATTTAAATGTGTGGATTTAAATGTGAATTATATCTTAGTAAAGATGTTTAACAAGAAAAGGCAGCTGGGGCTTTATCTCCTTCCTCCCTGCCTCCTTCCCATTGGCTGTAATGAGGGCGTGATGGCTGGCACTGGAGCAGCCGTCTTGGACCAGGAGATGACTCTGAAAAGTGGGCTAAGTGCGAACAACAACATAGAAGGAACCCGGGATCTCGACTACAGGGAGTGAGTGCCATATCAGCTTTGGACCACCTACCTGCAGACTTTTGTGTGAAAGAAACAAGCTTCTGTTTTGCTTAAGACATATTATTCTGGGTCTCTGTCACTCAAGTGATCCTATTTATAATTGGCACACACAGTGCAACCCAGAGGAGAAAAGCTGGACCCTGAGTACGAGATGCCCCAGCAGTCCTACGGACCCCTCCCTCGGCAGTACTCTGGGCTCCTCAGAAGTCTCAGCATCAGCTCCTGACCTTGACCTGGCCTTGCCCTTCACACTCTTCTCACACCTCTCAGAATCCAGCCCTTCCTGACTCTTTAGAAACCTCCGTCACATGCCTCCTGCCACTGTGTTCTAGACCCTTCCCATCCCAACCTCCAGGTCCTCTCTCCACCCACAGCCTCCCCACCTCCAGATGTCCTTTGGCTATTACAGGAATCATGCAGAAAATGGAAATCGGGAATTTTCTGTTTGCTTCCAGACTTGAGGGCAGGCCATGTGTCCCTAAGACCCATCTCTGGGCTCAGGGCTGCCCCAAGCTGCTGCCACCTCAGATCTCTGCCAAAGCCAGTTCACACCAGGGCGAAAGTAGCAAATTAACACCCATCTGCTCACCAGTGGGTCTCTGTCATGAGGCTCCTGGTGGCACGACAATGCCTGATGTGTCAGGAAAAAGGGGGACAGCTGGGAAGAGCCTTCACAATGGGTGCCGTCAACCCCATTACTGTGAGAGTGTACAGCTGTCCGCAGCTGGCAGGAAGAGCCAGAAGGCGCCGTTCCCGCCCGGGGGAGCGGATGTTCTCACTGTCAGAGCCAAGAACAGGGCCCCGAGCAGATGGGGAGGCATGGACAGCCAAAGGGCATGGGTGGGTCTCAGGGGTCCTGGGCTCCCCTCTCCCCTTCGGGTTCTGAGCCTGATTCACTGTGTGACCCTCACCCCTCTTAACACCAGTTTCCCCATGTGCCAATTGAGGGGAGTAGACTGGATGATCTCCCAGAGCCTTCCTAGCCCCCAAAGGCTTCCAAAGTTGGACCCAAACACATTCCAGTTTGATGAAGATTCTGTCTCAGGGGCTCCCTGCTGAGACAACAGTGTGGACACCAGGACCAAAGCCCAGTGTTCACGGGGTGGGATGCGGGGGTGGGGGCCAGGGAGGGGGTGCCCACCGCAAGGACTGGAGACCCTGGAGGACACCCTACCTGCCCTGTACTGGCTGGGCAAATGCTGCTGGAATCTTCTCATGGCCACAATTTCTATCATTTGTAGCCAAAATTCAGGGCCAGAAAAGACCTTGGCATCTACCCTGCTGGTTTGAAAGCCATGTTCCAGAAGACCTGGCAGCTCCTCAGAGGGGCCTCGGGGGCCAGGAGAGGGCGAGGAGGTGGGCTCAGGCCCCTCACTCTGAGTCAGCCAAACAGCTCCACTCTTGGTCTACTTTACACACTGGGCAAGATTTTGCAGAAGGAAAAAAAAAAGCTTTGGAGCCATCGTCTGTGTGCCCTCCTGGTCCCTTTGGGGGCCCCTTTCAGCGAGTTCGACCCGCCATGGGCGAGTGGCTCTGGGCCGGGTCTGGCTGAGGTGCGGTGGGCCTCCTGGTCATGGCCCCAGGGGCACGGGACGGCCATCTGGAGCCCGGTGACTCGCGTCTTCCCTCTTCCCTAAGACGACTTCAGTGCCCTTCCGGTGATCGTCCTCCCAGCCACCCCACCCCCGGACTCTGCGCCATTCTTCAGGGGCGGTGTTTCTGTCCCTCCCCACCCAGGCCTCCCTCCTCTGGGGGACACACTCTGGGCTGGAAACATAAGAGCCTCCCAGGTCAGGACACAGCTCCCTCGGCGAGGGTGGCGAGTGGCAAAGGAGCAGGTGACACTGTCTCCGGGAAGGAGACCCCAGGGTAGGAGTGCGTGTTGCTAAAGGCGAGCAGAACACGGGGGCGGGGGGGACCAGCCGCGCCAGCAGCTCTCGCAGCGACGGTCTCTACTAGTGCGCAGGCCAACAGGCCGGGGGCACCGCCTTATCCTTGGCGGACACAAGGTGGGACAGACAGGCAAGGACAGACAAGATGACCTGGACAGAGCCAGTGGGGGTCTGCGGCCATCGGAGCCAGGGGCAGGTGTGCATCAGGAGAGCTGCCCTCTCCTGGACGGCAGGCCCGGCCGTGAGCTCTCGCGTGGAGGCCGTCCGGGCGCCGTCCAGGCTGCGTCAGGACGGACGTGCGACCTCTGAGCGCAGTGGGGCGCTCCAGTGTGTGCCTGTGACAGCTGAGCGGCGTGAGTGCAGAACAGGACGGCGAATGGGCAGGACAGGCTTGGTTCCCTCCACACCGGCAGCCTCACCCTCCGCCATGCCGCGCGGCTGTCCCCACATCACACAGTCTCTCTCCGCTCCGTGAATGGCTCCAGTTTCCAGAGCAGCCCCTGCTGCCCCACCAGCCCCACCGATCCCTTTCGGGCCACTCACCATCAATAACCCTCTTCACGCGCCAGATCCGGAGCATGATGATGAGGCTGATGGCGTCCCAGGGGCTCCTGGGCCCATTGGCCACGGTGGATGCCACCATTGGAGCCAAGGACAGGATGATCACAGCCCCGTCAAACACCTGTGCGAGGAGGCATATCTCAGTGCTCAGGGCCGGGGACCAGGCAAAGCAGCTGGTGCCGGCTGACTTCTCCAGGGGCCTGGGCTCCCACAGAAGGTCACCCGACATCTGGCCAGCCCTCCTGACACTCCTTAGTCTTTAGGGGTCTCCCCCCTTCTAAATGTGCGTCTGAGCACCCTGTATCCTCCAAGTGACCTCAGCCCATCTCCAGCCCTTAGTTCAGACAGCCTTGGGCTGTCTTGCCCCTTCTCAGGATGGGGCCTGGATCCTGTGTCCCAGGCCCTGGGCAGAGCTGGGCTGAACCCCGCACTGGCAGGGTAGGGGCTGAGGGCAGGCACGGGGTGCCTCCTTCCTTGGGGGAGCAGGACCCGGGGCCCACATCTCATCTCTGTCCAGCACAGGGTCCCTGACCCTGCAGGGGCAGGGCTGGGTGAGGAGGCACGCAGCCTGCATGATTTATCAAGCCCCAGGCTCTGACCTCCATCTGCCTGCCCCAGACGGGCCTCCCTCCGAGCCTCTCATGGGCCAGGCCCTCTGTGTCAGCTCCCAGCTTGAGCCCAAAGAGGCCAAGATATGGATGGAGGGGAAACAAAGGAGTGGGCAGCAGCGCTGACCCCTTGCCTCGGCATGTGCCCAAACTGCCAGCAGCAGCCAGGTCTCCCCCACCCCCACCCCCGCCCCGCCGCCGCCGCCCGGACAGGGAGCAGAGGGGAAACCCAGGCTGAGGGTCGCTTTTACAGTTCCCTGCCCAGCTGTCCGTCTAGGGTGGATTTATTTGTTTTAAAACACAGCTCAAAAGCTTTTCAAAATGATTCAAAAATAAATTTTAAACGTTTGCAGAACTTCAAGGATTGTTTGAGAGCGTCCCTTTGCTGGAAACTATCCAGTCGGCCCTCCCCAGCCTCCACCCCTTCCCTGCTCCAGCCGCGGTGCACAGAGGAAGAAGCGCCCGCGTCAAGTGCGGGAGGGAGCAGCCTTTTTTGATGGCTCCCACCCTGGAATGGATGGGACAGTGACATTTTCCAGCTTCCAGGCTGGTTGGGTTGGGTCTGGGGGTGGACGCTGTTCTTTACCTCTATTTTGTTCTCGATGTAATCCCAGATCCCAAGCACCACGATCCGCAGAACAGTCTGAGGAGAGAAAGAGAAAAGAGGTGACTGTTCTCCAGCCCCTGCCCCAGCAGAGAAGACCCCGGAGCTCAGCATGCAGAGCTCTGCTTCCTTGCTCAGTGATGCGGAAAAGCCTCCACCATCTCCCGAGCATTCCTCACCCACGTGCCCTCTCCAGCCCTAGTGCCAGGGCCCAGCTCCAGAGCCTCCTGCTGGCGCCCGGCCTGCAGGGTCTGCCCCTCCAGCCCTCTGCGTGCCATCCCTGGGCACCGCAGCACCATCTGTGCCAACCCTCACTCAGAACCCTCAGAACCCAGAGCTCTGGGTACCTAGAGAATACACTCCAAATCCCTTGGAATGATACCCAGGACCCCGCCTCCCTCTCCTGCATCCTCTTTTCCCACTCTCTTCATGCCCCAAACCACTTAGAAATATTCAAACATGCAAGCTCTCTCCCCTACTGCCTTGTCTTTGCATGAGGCTACAGTCGACTCCCCTTCCAACCTCAAATCTCTTCTCTCCTTCTACAATGATGGAAGCTTCAGCATGGCCACCCATCTAAAGACTACATTTCCCAGCTTCCTTGAGTCCAGGAGTGGCCATGTGACTATATTCTGGCCAATGGCTGGTGAGCAGAAGCACCGCATACAACTTCTGGGCTGTGGCCTTACATGGATTCGGCTCTTCCTCCTCTTTCCCTCTTCCCAAAGACTGGAATGTGGGTGTGTAGGTGTGATGGCAAGCTGCCTTCAACTAAGGAGGCCCAGGCAACAAGACGGAAGCCTGCTGGGTCCCCACCAGCCCAAGCCACCATGTCAGCCTTACCTGCTTACCCAGCGTGTTCTTGCATGAATGAACAAACGCACGCATGAATGAATAATTCCTAAATGCTGCTGCCTTCGGAGTGGTGTCCTCACCAAGACTGCATCTTTCTCCAAAGAAGCTTCTTAAAAGCTAGTCTTATATGATCCCGGCACATTCCTCTGTAGGCTATTCCTTGAGCCAAGATGACTTTAATTCACAGTAACCCACAGCAAGTGCCCCTTCCCTACCTGCCAGAAGTGCCAGACCAGCCTGCTGAGCTCAGCCAGGCTGCCACAGTCCGTGGACCGTCACCCACACTTGTCATGCCACAGAAAGGCTTGGCTGGTAAAATCTATCTCTCCGTGTAAAGGATGATCCTGACTTCTGTGAAGGATGAGAAGGTGGGATGCTTGTGGTAGCCAGTCATGGCACCGTATTTGAGTACAGAGAGGAGCGTGTGGCAGCCTGATGACTACTCCTTTACGGCTTCCCCATCTCTCGGCTGGTGGACCCATGCTTGACTGCAAGACAGCTCCCAGGGGTGAGAAGAGATCTGGTTGGGGGTCCAAGACATCTTGAGGTTACAGCTCAATAATGGGCTGTTTTTGTGGCCTTGGGAAAGTCAAGTCCCCTCCCTGGGCCCCAGTTTCTCCTTCTGCCAGAGAGGTGGGCTACACGATACAATTCCTCCCATTATTTATGGGAATAACATCTACCTTCTAGTACATGCCAGTAAGTGCCAGACCCTGGGCCAGCCTTCCTCACTGTGATTCTCATCTTACAGAGAGAGTCAGAGAGGTTAAGAAGGCTGCCCAACATCACACAGGCCATTGGTGATGAAGTCAGTATTTGGACCCAGAGGTTTCTGGCTCTGCACAGTGTGCTCAGGCTGTGTAAGAACACCACATATCGTCCTGGTTTCTTTTGTTGCTGTCCAATCCCTCTAATTGTGCTGAGTTTGAAACTTGGTGTTTGTCTCCTCTGAAATGCTTCAGTAGCCACATGCACCCCACACTCCCAATTCTGGGGCTCCCAAAGCAAAAAGTCCAGGCTAGGACAGATGGGAATAGGGCCTGGTCCAAATATGATTTCTGCTGCTGCTGCTCCTCCTCCTTCTTTTACAGTTGTGGTAAAACACACATAACACGAAATACAGCATCTCAACAATTTTCAAGTGTACGGCTCAGTGGAATTTAGTACAGTGACACTGCTGTGTGACCGACACCACCATCTGTCTTTGCAACCTTTTACTCTTCCCAAACTGAAACTCTGCACCCGTAAAACAGCAACTCCCAGCCTCCCCTCCCCCAGCCCTGGCAAACACCATTCCACTGTCTGCCTCTGTGGACTTGACTCCTCTGGGGACCTCACCTAAGAGGAGTCACTATGCTTCTTTAAAGACAACACTCTTCTTAGCCAAAAAGGCTGCGGCCCAGGGGGTGTGGGCAGGGGGATGGGAAGGGAGCCGGCCAGGTGGTGGGAGACGCAGCCAGCAACGCTGACAGGGTGCGGGGCCGGCCAGGGCGGGGTGTGCGGCACGCACAGAGCCTCTGTGCTCCAGCAGGGGATGGAAGTTTAATGGTTTTACGGGCCACAGTGGGGGCAGGTGAGCACGCGGAGCAGCTGGAATGCCGGCCACCCGCCCGCCCTCCTTGCCGGCCTGTCCACATGGGGCCCATCCTCTGAGGCCTGGCTCAAGCCCACCTCCTCTGGGAGCCTTTCCTTCCTCGCCCAGCCACGGGACCAGAGTGGCAGAAGGCAGCTGTGGATGGGCTCCGGAAACACCTTTCCCATCTGTAGGGGAAGGCTGGCTCCAAGTCAGGGTCAAAGCCAGAGCGAGAGCCCAGCTCTGAGACGCCTGCCTGGGCGCTGGGGGCGTGGGGTGGTGCATGGCGCAAGGGGGCAGGCTGGCCTAGGGAACACCCACTGTGGGTACCAGGCACTGGGGCTGACCCTGCTGCTTCCTCTAGAAGGATCTGCTCTTGGGCAAGTTTTCCCTGGGGCTAAACTAGAACAGCAAGAGGAAGACACTGATTCCAGGATCCAACTGCAGGGCAAGACCAAGACATGTGAGAAATCTTTGCAGGGGCTGAAAACTGTCACCAGTCTTGAACTGGCGAGTAAAAGAAAGGTTTGCCAGGTGACAAGTGCCAGTGGAGGGTGATTTCAGGGCCGCACAGGAGTGCCCCGTGGGGTTGGGTGTCGATAAAACAGGAGTGGACCCATCGGCCTCCTCTTTCATACCTTGATGCTCACTCCCTCCCAATCCCTGGGACGGTGGCTGGTGACCCAAAGAGACTGCCTCCTCCCAGTGTGTCATCTGCTCTCGAGGTCTAAAGGTGAGCCCCCGACCAGACGCAATAGCTGATGGGCTCTGGGCTTACGGGCAAACTGAGCACTCTGCCTCCTGGTGCTGGGCTCATTTTGGCACCAGATTCACAGCTACTTTAACAGAATGGGTGCGAGGCCCCGAGGGCGGAGCATGGGGTGGCAGACGCAGGACCAAATGTGAGTCCATCAAACAACTGACATCGCCTGCGCACTCACAGTGCACGGAGCGCTGTCCTGGACCTGGGATGAGGAGGAGAGGCACTGAAGTACGCAGGATGTGCAAGGCTCACTTCCAGAATTCCTCTTGGCATACGAACATCCTTACGTCTCCATTGTTCTAAAATATATCCCTCACCAGGCCACTGCCCTCTCTCTCACACTCCCCCGGGGAAAGGTCTTGGAGAAAAGGCCCTCTCCGTAACCTGCCGCAGCTGCGATCCGACCTCGGCTCGCGCTGCTCCAGCAAAACTGCTCCCCTGGTCACCAGTGGCCGCTCTTTGCCAGACCCAACGAGCGGCACCTGTTGCTTCTCTGAGGTCAGCAGCATCGGTGCCATTGACCGCCTTGCTCAGAAAGGTCCTTCTTTGCCCCAGGATCCCCCACACTCTGGGTTTTCCTCCCACCTCCCTGGCTACACTTTCTCAGTCACCTTTGCAGGTGTCTTTTCCTCCGTCCACACCAAAGTTGTTTCCCAGGGCTCCAGTTTCTTCTCTCCTCAATTTCGCCCCCGCAAGGACAATCTCACTCTTGGCTTCAACTACCAGCTGATACTCTGAAACCCACACCTCTGCCAGGTTTCTCTCCTGGGCAGCAGTTTCCAGTCAGCGAAGGCATCGCCCCCTGGTTGACTAAGCCATCCCCGCCCCCCACATAGATCAATTCCCAAGTCCAGCCAAGTTTAGCTCCTAATCTCTCTCCAGCTCATCCCTTTCTGCATTCCCTCTCCCAGTTCTCTGGTTCAAACCTGTCCCCTCTCTTAGCTGAGCCATTTCTTTGGAAACTGGTCTCCAAATGCCAGTCTTTCCTCTGCCTCCGGCCCCTGCTCTACACCAGCCGCCAGGGTGATTTGTCTAAAACACCGACCTCCGCTTGCCCCTCTCCTGCTTAGAACCCTCCAGGGACTCCCCAGTTGTTGTAAGACTGGTCCTAAGTCCAAGCCTGTACAGCCTTTCTCGCCAGCTCTCCAAAGTTAGCGTTCTAGAATCCCTGACTGGGACCTATACGTATCGTCTAAATGTGGTATACAGTCTAACGTTTCAATATGGGATCGTCCATTGCTTCACATGTGTAAATCTTGTCGCTGTAAATGGAGTAAAAGCTCACCAATGGCAGGGAAATAATCTGTCTCTTGACAGCCTGACAAATATCCACTAAATCATAATAATTTAAGTAATTTAAACAAGTTCATAGTGAATTAATAAAATATTCAACTCAATCGATTCTCTATTTTAATGTTCACAGTCTCATTTTCCCTACTAGTTAGTCCTAAAATTTGTTAACAAAATGTTTTGATTTATTAAAAACATGCCAAGGAAATAGATTGAATTCAGCTCTTCTACGAGCCAGCAGGACAGGAGCGCGCGGTTTCCTGCAGTCAGTGAACGGGTCTGCGCTGACAGCGTGACCACGTCCGCCGTCTGACACCTGCAAACACCGCACTATTCTTTTTGTTTTTCTTTTTTTCTCTCCTCTTGTATGCACTATTCTTAAATAAGAAGATACCAAAATTGTGCTTTGCCTTTTGGAATAAAAAGATGACAGTATTTCTCAAAGAATAAAAAAGATTTTTAAAATGTCAATGAGATAGCTTAATTATGTCCATTGACATTCATTTAGAACAAGTATGTACAGGCAGTATTTGCTAAGCATTATGAGAAAAGCCATTT